ATCTTCGTAACTTTTTCGGGCGTTGTGCTCGAAGATGGTCGTCCAGAACGCTCGTCATCATCGACAGGGGTTCGGCCATTTTTAAAACGTGAATGCCACACAAAAGTTTGCGGACTCCCCAAATGTTTGCTTTAGCATTTCATAGGTTTCCGTAGCGGTTTTGGCGAGTCTTTGGCAAAATTTGATGCACCCGCCATTCCGAAATCGCAGGAGGGTCGGTGTAATGCACTACCAAAACGCCCGTAACTAAGAAACAAATGCTAATTCGATGATGCCGGCTGGCACACTGATTCACTATGAATGTAGGCCGCACCCCCTAGCGGCAGAAGCTCGTACTACATCCGGTTCGCCCTCTATTGACACAGTCTTTAAACTTTCCGATCGCACCTCGTACGCCATGTTCTTAACGTACACCCCGTTTAAACCTTTCCTTTATTTTGCTTGTTTGTTTTTAAGTGCCACTATATTGCTTTAAAGAAGTAGCATATTTTTTAAATCCCAAGCTAGTTAACAAATTGTGAAGGCCTTAATTTTGTAATTATCTCCATTAGCCTTCTGTTTTATCGCTAGTACTTCTGTGCGTCCTGACACTTTGATAAACAGTTTGGTCTGAGACACGCACTGTAGGCATATCCCAGAGACCGAATTGCACACTCATACAAAACAAGCAGAAATGTCATCGCCTTACAGGCCTATATTACATTCTTCAGGTTTTACAGACGATAAACTGGCACACGAAATAATCTAAACTGAACAATATCTATCACTTCTAATTTAATTTTTCTTTAATTTCAAGACGAATAGCCTTCGAATTTATTATAATTCTCCGCACATCGGTAAGCCTATTAATTTCACAGTTTATCAATCATTGTCTCCTGCAGAGTAGAAACTGCCCTGTTTTGGATATCTGCCTGTGCTGTGTAAATATTCTATGTCCAGCTTCATACCTTTCTTCGTTTACACATCAATATCAATTATATTGTATATTTTTATAATTTCTAATATAACACATCAATACCAATTACATATTTGTAGAAACTTGAAGGAACAGCATTAACGAAAGACATGTAATGTTTGTTGACTTCTTTTACTTGCTGAAAGCAAGTTTTGAAGGAAGTAACAGCTGTTGGAGAGCAAACGCGAAGGAGACCCCTGCCTCGGTCTTTATGGTCCGACTTCTCTGCAGGGGTCCTCGACCCCGGGCAAGGTTAAGAAAGTCTGTTGTAAACAATTAATAATTACGTCACCGGACTGTCTTGGAAGAGCTTTCTAACTCTGCCACCTGGGAGCAGCACCGTATAGAGGACGACTCTCATGCACTGGACTTTGGTACAAGCAGCCCATCTGTAATGAGTTTAAACAAAACGTAAAGCCAAGTCTGCACAATAAATCATTTATCTGATTCCTGTTCAGAACGGGCTAAACCAAGCAGACGCACACCCGTGGAAACATCAAATCCTGCTCGCTTTATCGCTAAATTATTTTAGACAATGCTTTGGAATGTGAGATTAGGAATTCAAATTGAATGGGACAGATCGGCCTCTGCTGATGCTGATAACTCTAATTTCAACGATGTATTTACCTAATTGCAAGCATGAAGTATCAGGAGAAGCCTGAAGGATTTTATCCTTGTCTGTGCAGACGTGTCACAAAAATGGTACATCATTTTTGAATGCTCATATTTTCCACATATTTTTTTCTCATGTTAACTTACCGGTGTATCACTGGATTTGATAATTATAAAATATTAGTGCCTGAACAAATAGCCCACTGACGACCGAGGTTCAAATCCCTGTTGGAGAACTGAGGAGGATTTTGTTACACCGATTTTTTTTCAATTCGAAATTTCAAAATTGATTCTGAATCGAAACAGACTAGACGGACTGCTCTGTGGAAGCTGAAGAACAATAAGAACTTCGTGTAAAATTTATCTTTTGGACATTGTCTATCGTCTAAATTATAAAATCACAAAGTTTCAAAAGCGGAATTCTGCTTCCATCTTCGGGTAAAGAAAGTGGGAAGAAGGTAGAAAACCCATATTTTGGGTCCATTGTTGAGCTAGTCTCCATGGCTAAAGCTAGCTCAAACAGTGGGCCCTTATCCAGCCTACGATGAACACGCAAAAGCAAAATTTTATACGTAAGGCACAATGGTCAGAAACCTTCAAATGTCGACAAGAAAAATGTCTTTATTTTCTAATATTATCATTATTTCGAAACATTAAGTGAAAAGCTAGATTTAAAAATTCAACACTTCTCAGCGCATGTTTGGTCATAGTTTTCACCTCCCTGCAATTGAGCAGAGACTGCTTCAGCTTTTAGACGGCGTACTTCATGGAAGCGGCCTGTTCGGCGATCCATTATGAAGCCAGGCGGACTCTAATAGGCCCCCTGTAGACCATGAAACCCTTAAGGGTTATGAGAGGTAACGACGCAATAATCATAACAAACTCCGAAGCTACCGATTACAAAATTTGCTGTAGGCTTGCGTGATCAAAAATAAATTCCCTATTGTTCAGCCACGAATTACATTTCATTTGGATGGAAACACAGGAAGGATTGAAG